CTCTCTCTCTCTCTCTCTCTCTCTCTTCCTCTTCCCAATTCTAGAAAAATACGAATGATATCCATACAAACTGAACAGAGAAAGAACAAGCTTAGAACTGAACAGCACGTCTGTACAACAAGCTACAAGCTGAACCTAATGCCAGATACTTTTGTCAATTTCTATCTGGATTTAACGATGAGTGCGCGTTTTTAAAAAAAGCTGTCGTGTCCTCAATTGGTTCTCTTTGGCGCTGCTGCTACTCACTACGCTCTTATCACATCTTCTCTTACCACTCACACAATCTGATCACGGATCAAGACTTGTGCATGGCTGCTTCAGTGGCTAATCTCTTCTCGGTGATCGATCACACACTCAATGTGCCCAACGTTTGAATCCTAATTAAGGAAAACACTGGAAACTCCTAAAGCAGGTAACCCTTTTTTATATTTCTTTTCTCTTTCATCGAAGCCCAATACTAGAATTATATTTGTTCCTTAGAAACAACAACACATATTTGGTCTGCACTTGTATCTGTACTTCCAAAGTGGCCATAGAAACATCTTCACGAGTAACGTTCGGTTCCCAAAAACCACAAACGAGGAGGTTTACTCTCGGATGGTTATTTGAACCCCTCAGAGAATTAGACGAGACTAGTGAAACCTGATAGTATCCTTGACAGAAAATAAAGACCACAATGTCCCATACTCGAAAACGAAACATAGAGCTCAGTGCAATGCCCTTCACAGGTTATTAACAGCGACACTACATTCAAGAGGATGGGAGAAAGACAAGCCCGCACTAGATCAAAGATAGGATAAGGTTAGAGCTGTCGTAGGCGAAGTGGCCAAACGTACAAGCTACCATTACATCTAAGACAGTGTTTCACTTTTTTCACTGTCTGAACGTTGTAGGGAGTTTGAAAAGAATAAATCAGGACAGGTTGTCGAGATCGGGTCGCTGAAGACAGAAGAAACGGAATTGGAAGGGGGTGGGGGCTAACAAATACAGAGATATTTCTCAGCATGGAGACTGAAATACCAAGGATGGAACAATGATGTTTGAAAGTTAAAAGAAAATAACAAATAACAGATAGTTAACATGAATCCCCCAAGACAATGGCCGAAGAAGGTTCAAACAACAAACTGGTCCTGCGCCGTCAACATCGAAGTGGAAAACACCCTTTATGAAATGTGGAAATTTGTTGAAAAGATGACGGCCACAGAGAAAAATGTAGAATCAGCATCTGAATTAATAAAAGATGGGGAATGCCCAATAGTCGGGAAAATGAACTGGTAGGTACGGGTAGAATAGCCGCTCAAAGAAATGTTACATTGTACACTCTAATCTAAAGACGTTTCGATGGTCGGATGAGTCATTTGGACAGCAACACTTTCAGCATTGCCACGCTACTCGAAAATAGTGGCTTTAAACAGTTTGGAAAGTTCCCTATCGTCATGACACCAGCAACAGTAAAGATAGAAACGGAATACGCCCCAGCTCCAGTAAGATTTTGGACCAGCACAAACGAATGCTCCGACAGCAACCATCAACCCAGAAACAAACTGAAAAGCGAACAGATGAACAACCAGAACGCAGTCATCTTTCCTGAAGCAAAGTTGTGAGAAAAAATTTCTTATGCTGACATTTTGTGACATCAAATTCTGATTAGTAGTCTTCTTTTCCCTGCCCAATGCAACTGTTATTGTGAGTGCATATGACGCAATAAAATGGCTAGTGTCTTCTAAAAACACTTCATAATTTCTGCCTCAGTCCCCATCAATGTGAACTACTTTTAATTAAACAATCTTTCCCGGACGTTTGCAGTACCGACAACACCCCTGTCTGTGCTTACAGTCACCGTTCTCATTCATGACTAGAGAGATGATAATGTCGTATAGAACTGACACCAATGGCATATATAATGCTATTATTATGTTTTCAGCGTACCTCCATACTGGGTTTTTCTGAGAATTCTATATAATGGGATTTGGGGTTGGAGGGTATATCTCTGAGAAAAACAGTTTCGCTACATGTAAACGTGAGATCAGAACTGTGGTGTGGAAGTGGATTTTGACCATCGAGCAGTTTTGCAAAGAACAGTGTGCTGAAACTCATATACTTGCTTCCCCGCGCATGGAAGAGTTTTAAAACATTCTTTTCAGTATTGTTTTCAGAGATCAAGAGTGGAATTTTACAACTAATTAAAAAAACAAATAAAATGACCATCTTCAATATGTATACTTTCAAGTCTTTAAAAAATTGGAATGAAAATATCACAGAACCACGCCCATTCACTCGTAGTACCACATGTATTCTTGGTTGTGTAGACAAATAAAAACAAAAAAGATTTTTAAAAACTCCAAAGCGCAATAAAACATTCATAGACATGGTTATTTTATCTCTATTTTAAACAAAAGACCAACGTTAACAACAATTATAGAATGATGGTGCTCCGTAAAGAGTCGTATACCACAATGAACAAAAAAAACAACATTTGTATTTTAGGCTCTCCAGACCCATACTGTTGGTCCATGTCACACAAGATTGTATTTCCCATATCAAGTAATATCATCGCGCGAGACAGACACGAAGCAATGGCGCAAGTGTCCTCCACACCTTCATTTCTTGGCAGCACGCGCATGTCTGCCTACACACTCGGTAAATAATACCTGATAAATACATGTTATTAAAGTACACAAGCATAAAATATTTTGGGCTAAAGGGCGAGAATCTTGTAGGAGTCATGGATTGTTTCTCTATATTTCTCTCTCTCTCTCTCTCTTTCTCTCTCTCTCTCTCTCTCTCTCTCTTTCTCTCTCTCCCTCTCTCGGAATCCTCTCTCTCTCTCTCTCTCTCTCTC